GTTTGGCTCCGGGCATTCAAAATGCGGCCCGGGAAATGGAGTTCTGGGAAGTCGAAGAGCACGAAGTGGCCTACAGTTGGCTCCGGGCATCCAAAATGTGCCCGGGAATGGAGTTCTGGGAAGTCGAAGAGCACGAAGTGGCCTACAGTTGGCTCCGGGCATCCAAAATGTGGCCCGGGAATGGAGTTCTGGGAAATCGAAAAGCACGAAGTGTGTGACTGTATGCGAAAAACGATCCCCCCCGGCAAACCCCAACGGCCCCCCAACGGCCCCCAACGGCTCCCCAACGGCTGCCCAGACCCCCCTGTGGAGTAATGTGCTGCTCTCTTTTTACACCATTAGAAACCTATCAGTCTTCGATGTTAGGTAAGTAAAAACCCTTATCGCAAGCACCGTTTTGTGGGACCTTGCAACCGCCCAAGTTGGGGTTGCTCTCGCTACGCAACGAGGCGCAAGCATTACCAAGCAGCGCACGCAAGAATGCAGCACAATAATGCGCGATGCGAATCTACGTATACCACCACCCAACTCAACACGGTATAGTATTGCATGGCTCTGGCTCGACATAGCTGGTCATTGACTGGACAGTACCAACATGGCATAACATGGCACGGCCTAGAACTGCGTGGCATAACATACCCTTGGTAGCGGTGCGTACTCCATGGTAGCATAGCGTGCCATGTCATATTCATGCATCGCAACTCATACGATTATCTTTCAGATCCTATTCGCAAAACTCCGTAGTGTATGGTGAAGCAACAAATTGCGCAACATTGCATGGCAGGGCATTGGGCAGCATGGCGTAGCGTAGCGTAGCGCAGTATCCGTAGCATAGTATGGCACAGTTTTGCGCATCATAACATCAGATGACATTTCAGAGTCTTGAAGTGTGGAGGAGCGCAGGAGGATGAAGAGGATGAGAGACAAAGGAAGAGAAATAAATGAAGAGAGGTGATTCGGAAAGAAAGGGAAATGAGGGAGGAGGAGCAGAAGCAGCAGATCCTGGACCCATTTGTTCGTAACTGACGCGTCCACCGCCCTCAAACGTCTGAGAAAAAGGGGTTGCAGGGGTCTGAGACGGCTTCTTGCAAGCTGACAGGCCCTCGACAGCGAATCCGAACGGTCCTGGGCTGGGTGGGGCGATCGGGCCCCTCTCGGCGATCATTGGGCGATCGGGGGTCGATGCATCTCCCCATGAGCCTGTCCCCTCCAGACGTTGCCCCTGACCCCGTCGCGCCACCCGTGAGTATCGGCCACGTCCGTCGCCCACCGGTCGCAGGTCCTGCAGCGCTCCGCGAGCGCCGCGCCGACCGCCGCACCGAGCAAGATGAAATCCCCGGGGTCCCTCCGGGGCTCCTGGACCATGTCCCGGCTGGCGTCTCTAGATGCGCCCAGCCGTTGCCACGAGCCCCCCCCCGCCCCCTGGCATTTGAGACACACGCACGCCTGGCGCAGAACCCTGGGAAGCAAACATCAGTGACCCCCCGTGCGATCTCCTGGGATCCATAGGACGACTGTCGTCGAAGGCCTCCTTCTCCTCCTCCTCCTCCTCCTCCTCCTCCTCCTCCTCCTCCTGCCCGCCCAGAGGGTCTTGGTCGCGGGCCTCTGAGGGGGATACCGCTTCCGCCCCGGCCCTGGTGCTGGAAGCGTTGCAATTTTCTCTGGTGAGGGAGGGGGAGGCGGGGCGGGCTTACTGTACTGATCGCTCCCTAGGGTTACGCGTTCTCCCTCCTTCCTCCCTGGCTGCGTCGTCGCCTCTCCATCGGGAGCCCTCCCTGCTCCCGCCCCTGTTCATTTTGCTTCAAGCAGCCGGCTCCAGCGCAGGGGTCGGCCCCCCCCCCCCCCCGAGCCCGTGCTTTTGCACGCCTCGCAGGGGGGAGAGGGAGGAGGAGGAGGAGGACGATGGCAAGTAGGGAGGAAGATCAGGGATGCGGAGGGGGGGGATGAGGAGGAGGGGGAGGGGGAGGGGAAAGAGGAGCACGAGTGAGGAGGAGCCGAGCGTGGAAAAGGGGGAAGGAGAAGGAGAGGCAGGGAGGGAGGCCGCGGAGTGAGGAGGGACGGATAGGAGGGCATGGTGGACGAGGAGAGGGACGGGGCAAAGAAAGGAGGAGGGGAAGGCATGGAGAGAGGCTGGGTGAGGAGGGGGGTCCGGGGGAGCAGGGGGGGCGAAAAGGGCGAGGAGCTCGAGGAGCCTTCGGGAGGCGGCGTGCTTCGGAGGAAGAGGAGCGCCTTTTGCCCCCCTCCCGACCTTGCGGGAGGGACGGGGCCGCTCTTTGTCAGCGCCGCGCGGCGGCTCCGGCTCTCGGGGGGCCCTGGTGCCCACGAAGAGGCATGACGCCGACTCGGGTGCCCTCTGGCCGAGACGCCAGGGACAGGGAGCAGCGGCGCACGCGCACGCGCACGCGAAGGCGAAGCCAGGACGAAGAGAAAAAATAGGGTACGCACAAATCGGGGATCTCTGAGATCTGGCGGATCCAGAGGATGTCTCGGGCGCCACGACCTTCTCAGAGGGTTCCAGTACGCTCTGAGAGCGTTCCAGAACGCCCTGGAACGGATTTATAGTCCTAGCCCCGCCTGACACGCGCACGGGACTGCTCGTCGAAGCTGCACTCGTGGCAGCAAGCGGCCATCGTCTTGATGGCGACGGGGTTGCATCGCCCCCCGTGGCAGCGGGCGCAACGCCTGGCTGCTTCACGGCGGCTGCTCCGGAGAAGAGGCTCCGCAAAACAAATGACGAACGAGCATCACACGCCAATACACGTAGGGTGCTTGGAGGGAGGAGGACTGGCTATGGGTATGAGCGCGGGTTCCCTCACCCACTCCCTGCCTCACTCCTCCCTCCCTCCCTCCCTCCTCCCTCCTCCTTCTTGCCTCCCTTCTCCCTTCCTCCCTCCCTCCCTCCCCTCCTCCCACCCTCCCTCCCTCCCCTCCTCTCGCACCCCCATCCCAAAAGGAGTACGCCCAGCGCAAAGCCCCGCGTCGCGCACACTCACACACACACACACACCACACACACAGACACACACACACGCACGCACGCACGCACGCACGCACGCACGCACGCACGCACGCACGCAAACACCCAAACACCCAAACACCCAAACACACCAAACACACCAAACACACACACAAACGCCTACACACTAACACACTAACACATAAACGCGTAAACACGCAAACACACAAACACGCAGACACACAGAAACAGAACAACACAACCACACAGACACACAAACACACACAACACAAGCACACACACAAACACACACACAAAAACACACAAACACACGCAGACACACAGACACACAGACACACAGACACTGAGAAACACAGACACACAGACACACAGACACTTAGACACAGAGACACAGAGACACGGAGACACACAGACACAGAGACACAGAGACACTCAGACACAGAGACACAGTGACACAGAGACTCAGAGACACACAAAGACACAGAGACACAGACAAACAGAGACACAGAGACACAGAGACACAGAGACACAGAGACACAGAGACACAGGGACACAGACACACAGAGACACAGAGACACAGAGACACAGAGACACAGAGACACAGCGACACAGAGACACAGAGACACATAGACAGGACACAGACCCAGACACAGGCACAGACAGAGACACAGACACAGACACAGACACAAACACAGACACGGACACAGACAGAGACACATACACGGACACAGACACAGGCAAAGACACAGACACAGAAACACAAACACCTACACAGACGCACACACGCACACAAACACACAGGCACACAGACACACAGACACACAGACACTGAGACACACAGACACACAGACACTGACACAGACACAGAGGCACAGAGACACACAGACACACAGACACAGAGACACAGAGACACAGAGACACACAGACACCGAGACACAGAGACACAGAGACACAGAGACACAGAGACACAGAGACACAGAGACAGAGAGACACAGGGACACAGCGACACAGAGACACAGAGACACACAGACAAAGACAAAGACACAGACATAGACACAGACACAGGCACAGACAGTGACACAGACACAGACACAGACACAGACATAGACACAAACACAGACACACAGACACGAACACACACGCACACAAACACACAGACACACAGACACACAGACACACAGACACTGAGACACACAGACACATCGACACACAGACACACAGACACAGAGACACAGAGACACAGAGACACACAGACACAGAGACACAACGACACAGAGACACAGACACAGAGATACAGAGACACAGAAACACAGAGACGCAGAGACACAGAGACACAGAGACACACAGACAAAGACACAGACACAGACACAAACACAGACATAGACACAGACACAGACACAGACGCAGACAGGACACAGACACAGACACAGACGCAGACACTGACACAGAGACAGACACGGACACAGACAAAGACACAGACACAAAAACAGACACAGACACAGACACAAACAATAAAACAGACACAGACACGCAAACACAAACACACACGCACACAAACACACAGACACAGATACACAGAGGCACAGAGGCACAGAGACACACAGACACTGAGACACACAGACACAGACACAGAGACACAGAGACACAGAGACACAGAGACACAGAGACACAGAGACACAGAGACACAGAGACACTGAGACACAGCGACACAGAGACACAGAGACACAGAAACACAGAGGCACAGAGACACAGAGACACAGATACACAAAGACACAGAGACACAGAGACACAGAGACACAGAGACACAGAGACACAGAGACACAGAGACACACAGACAAAGACACAGACACAGACACAGACACAGGCACAGAGACACAGAGACACACAGACACAGCGACACAGCGACACAGAAACACAGAGACACAGAGACACAGAGACACAGAGACACAGAGACAGACACAGACACAGACACAGACACGGACACGGACACAGACAAAGACACAGACACAGACACAGACACAGACAAAGACACAGACACAGACACAGACACACACACACACACACACCTCCCGCCCCAGGCGGCCTGAAAGGCGGTCCGGGCTGCGGCGAAGGTCCTGACCCCCAGGGCCTCGTATTCGGGCGCGCGAGCAGAGGTTCTCTGCAGGAGCGCTCTGTCCCCCCCTGCAGGTCGGATTGGGACACCGAACTCCTCCAGCACAGACCCAATTTTTCCTGGCGGCTCGCGACGAGGGGGCGGGGCGAAGGGGGAGGCCGTCTGTGCAGGCAGGGGGGGCGCCTTAGAAGGCTTCCCGGAGGCTTCTGAGAAGGCCCACTCGCGGGGCGGGAGGGCCTTCCACATGCCCCCATCACTCCCTGATTTCACAGAAAGCTGGCCCCTCTCGGCCTCCACCTGTCTGCGCGCCATCGATGTCTGCCATTTCCGCCGCTCACCGGCCGTATGCTCTGCAGCGCTCCACGAGCGCCGCGCCGACCGTCGAACCGCTGCTCGTCGTGTCCGAGAGGCGATGGTACAGCGTGTTGCCGCCGTAGTCCGTCGCCGCGAAATAGAAGACGGCCTCCAGCCCCGACCACGACGGGTCCCAGATGCGGCTGCGCGCGATGGCGTCCGCCGCCTGGTCAGCCGTGGATGCCCCCAACCAAGCGAAGTTGCCCAGAACAACAGGCCGGTCGCCGTTCGCCTGGCGCATCGCGGCCACCTGACTCTTGATCCACTCCTCCTGGATGGCGTGGTCGCTCGATGGGTTCAGCAGCCACTGGTTCGTCGCCACCAAGTCCACGTAGTAGGGCGAGGCGGGGTTGCTGCATTCGGGGCCGCAGCGTGCGAAGAAGCTCAGCAGCTTGTCCTGGGCTGCCCCGCCGTGGTCGGTGAACAGGGGACTGGTGACGCGCGTGCCACGCGTGCGCAACGTCTCTATCTCGGCGGTCCACGTATTCACGTGTGCCTTCCACTGGTCCGCTGCCCATTCGGCGGAGAGCCCTTGCGTCATCGGTTCGTCCCACAAGAAAAAATAATGGCCGTCGCACTCGGCCGGATTCTTGCTGAGCCCGTAGTCGGCGGCGCATTGCCACGCCCCCGCCAAGTCCTGGTACCAGTGGCTGCAGTCGTTGTTAATATTCAGGGTGCACATGTCTCTGTCCTCGGCTGTCAGCCCATCCCAAGTCTGTGGGTGGGTGCCGCCGTATCCCATGCACATCTGTCCGAAGCTGCTCCCGACCGCTGGGTCGATCGCCTCGAGCCGCGCGACCTCCTCACGGCAGGCATAGACGTCCACGGCGATGCCGCAGTAGGGCGCCGTGTCTGGCGACAGCGTCGGCGCTGGTGTGGGCGCCCGTGTCGGGCTGCACGAGCGCTTGTAGAAGGTCGAGCAATCGAAGTCTGCCGGCCCCGCCACGTGGCCACAGACTGCGCTGCGGGTTTTCCCTCCCTTGCCCAGACAGTCTTGATATATGTGAAAAAACTGAATAGAGCGGCGACAAACATAGCAACTTAGCAACACTCCACTCGAGAAGGGGATCGACTACAAAATTGATTTACCCCAAACTTGATTTTCTCGTCGAATCCTTGAAACAAACACGTAGAATGGTCAGCAGACATACGGACCATTCTATGTATGTTTCGTAGATTCTAGGGTAAATCGATTACGCAATCGATCTCCCATTCGATCTACGGGTCACGATTTCTTGCACGATCCCATAGATCCCGCTACACGCCTCCTCTGACCGTGTTCCCTCGAGGTCTTACGGCCCCACACGCGGCAATTCAAACCTCCCCTGACCGTGCTCTAAGACGAAGCCAGGGCGAGGATAAATTCGGGTGAAGATAAATCGAGATTCTCTGAGACACGACGGCTCTGAAGGATGTCTCGGGCGCCGCCGCGGCTTTCTCAGAGCGTTCCGGAAGGTTCTGAGAGCGTTCTGGATCGCTCCGTATAGGATCTATCCTCGTCCTAGCCCTGCCCGATGCTCCCGCAAAATCGTGCAACCCCACCGCCAGATAGTGCGCGTTAGCATCCGCAGACGAGGTTCATTCAGCCTCTGGGCGACAAGGGTGCATTCCCAGACTTTGTCTTGCTGGGGGCGTAAAGGCGTCTGAGAGGATTGGCTGTCCTACTCCCCATTCACCCTTCGACTTAGGGCCTGGAGTCCCGTTAGAGGGGGGAGGGTCTACAAAGTCACCAGCGCACCTCCGGGGCCATCGGAGCCTTCAAATCAACCATCCGTGGCCTCCAAGATGTCCAAGATGCCGTTTAGAGACTCAAGAAGGGCTCAAGCATATACCAGAGCGGCCTCAAGGCCATCCAAGATGGCCTGAAGAAGGCTTCAGGAGGACCCCCAGGCGGGCCTCCGGAGGCAAACAGCACTTGTTTCCCGTGTGCTTTGAGTCATGCTCGCTGGGCGTCTGCAGGCCCAAGACGGCTCGACAAGCGGCGCTGTGCGAGAGTAGTGCCATCCGTATCCTGTATGTGCCGATCCCAGAAGAAGAACAATCGCCATGAACAGAAACTTTTGGCGCTCCGCGCGGATTTCTTGGATCTGTGATGGACCCCCCTCCACCATGGCGCGCGGAGCGCGCCAGGGGCGGCGCCGGAGGCGCCGCTGGGGGGGACCCACGCGGATCCAAGAATTCCTCGCGGAGCGCCAACAATCTATGTTTATGGCAATTTTCCACCTTCGAGATCCACGGAGGTAACAGACGGTGCTGAGACAGATCGGACTCGGACCACATCGACGAACGTCTTCATGCAGAGCAGACGTCGATCGATCATCAGAGGCATCTGCCGTGGTGAGAGGGAGGCGCAACTGCACAAACATAGCCTTCCGAAGGTCCGCACGGACGTCTTTCATCTTCGCTGGACCCCCGTCCCTGGCTCGCGGAACGCGCAAGGGGCGGCGTCGGAGGCTCCGCCAGGGGGATCTGGCGCGGACCGTCGAACGTTGAGCTTCGGCTGTTTTTTCTTCGAGTGGTACATCCTGCCCCGCCCCCGCCCAAGCCCTGGCCATCCCCCCTTCCCCAGCCAACTCCGCTGCACTGCCCCCCTGTGGCCCTCTCCGCATCCCTGGCCCGCGTTATCCTCCCCTGGGCTCCGTCCCCCCCTCCTGGTCCGGCCGAGCCCTCCGCCCGCCGTTCGCGCAGTCGGGCCACCGTGCCCTGAACGGGGGTGACTCTGGGATTTTGGGCCCACTGACGGTGTTACGGCGCCCCATAGCCGGGCGGCGGGCGCGCGCGCACCTCCTCCTCCTGCTCCTGCTCCTGCTCCTGCTCCTGCTCCTGCTCCTGCTCCTGCTCCTGCTCCTGCTCCTCCTCCTCCTCCTCCTCCTCCTCCTCCTCCTCCTCCTCTTGGCGGCGAGCGAAGGGGAGAAATGAGAAGGAGAAGGCCTTCTCAGATAGCTCGGGAAAAAAAAAGGGGGTTCCCCAAGGCCTTCTGAGAGGTGTCTATAGATGCCTTCCCGCGAATGGAGAACTTCCCAGAAGGCGCGAGGGCATCTGAGAAGTACCGCCGGCCTATTTTGAGAAGGCTCTTCTCCCTCTCTCAGCTCCCCCCTCGCCCGCCGCCGATTCTCTCATCTTCCTTTCCTCTAGCTCTCCTCTTCCTCTTCCTGTTTCTTCTCCTCATCCTCCTCGTCCTCGTCCTCCTCCTCCTCGTCCTCGTCCTCGTCCTCCTCATCCCTCCTCTCCTCTCTCTCTCCTCCTTCCCCCTCCCTCCTCCTCCCCCCCCTGTTCCCGTCTGCTCGGTCCCCTCCCCTCCCCTGGCCCTTAGTTACCAGTGCCCTTGTCCCCTCGAATCGCCTCCCCTTGACCAGCCCGCTCCCCTCCCCGGGTCCCCTCCCTTCCCGTGGCCCCCTAGACCACTGGCCAATCAGCCAGCCAGTGGAGGCCTGGAATTCGTCACCAACACCAATACAAGGAGTTGCCTCCAGCGGGGGAAGATGATCCTAGATATTGCTGGTGGTAATATTTCGGCCATCTAGGAAGCCCAAATGCTACCATCACCGAGATCGGGAGCAGCCTCCCTCGGTGGAGGCACACCACCGATGTTGTTGTTGGCGTCAACCTCTAGGCCTCCGAACCAAACAGCCGCCAACAAACCAACACATAAGCCAGCCGACGAACCAACCACCGATGCAAGCCAGCCAGCCGGCAGGCGAATCAGGATGGGGAGCCGACGGCGAAGGACGCAGACCTTCAGAATAATGCTGGCTAGGCTCGCCGCCGGAGAAGCTCTTGTCTTTCAACCAACAGCCGTTCAACTGAGGGCATAAGGTGAAGCTCATGCAATTCGCGTTTGCCGAGCACCCTGCCATACACTCAGCAGACGACGCGGTTGATATTTCATCCCCTACACCCTCACCCTCGTCAACCGTTAAGGCGTCAAGTTCTCCGTAACACTCTTCTGCAAAATCTTGATAATTGGGCGTCGGTTCAGCTGATGGCGCCGAAGGCCCTGTCGAAGATGTCGGCGAGGCCGTCGGTACAGCTGATGGCGCCATAGGCCCTGTCGAAGACGTCGGCGCTGCCGTTGGTACAGCTGAAGGCGCCGACGGCCCTGTCGAAGACGTCGGCTTCGGTGTCGGCGGGGCCGTCTCGGTGATGACGGTGGTGCTTGAACCCACGTCAGCAGCGATGGTGGTGCTTGAGGTGGTGGAGATGGAAATCCCGCCGGTGGTGCCGAGGAAGGCTCTGGTTCGGGGGTTGCTCAAGGTGCCCATGGCCCAAGATGCCCCCAGCTTTTCGCTCCATTTTGGAGCCCCTGGGGCCCTTTGGGCCTCGTGACTGGTGTTCTGGAGGTCGTGGGGCACCATGGGCCAGGGGCACCTCTAGCAATAACCAACTGGTGGTGCTGGAGGTTGCGCTCGTGGTGGTCGCTGCAAGTGTCTCTGGCATAGCTGTCCCCGCGGTGCAGCCCGACAAGTGTGACGCCAGGGCGAGCAATACCGGACAGAGCCAAAGATCTGCATGCCAGCAGGACGGCGCAGCTGGGCCCTGGCCAGGACGGGCAGACGATGGAATCGACATGTCTTGGGCCAAAGCGACTACAGACGAGGAGGAAGAAGAGAAACGGTAGGTCGAACGCTGCGAGCATCGATGCTTAGAGTCTGGCCCACGTCAAAAAGAGGAGCGATAGACAGAGCAAGGTGACACCGTGCGCGGTGGTAGGCCAACTGCGGTGGTAGATCTGCGCCTGCGAGCGCGCGCCAACAGTCTTCACGACATGTCCGCGCGCCCTTGCTTGTGTTACGATGGGTAGTCTTGTTTCGGCTTGCGTTTTGAGCTCGGTAAAAGCACACAATGCTGGCATGACTATGAAACACGTGCTTGTCGGAGTGAGGAATCATCGCTCACGCGAATCGGTTTCAAGTCGCGCACGTGTTGGCTGTTCTGGGGCGAGCAGGTGTTGTTACGCGCATAACTGGAAAAGTATTACTACGTATCACACGCATCGATCCGAGGGAGTAGAGTTCGGAGGCGATGCATGACGTCGGCGTGGGATGTCTCCAGCATGATGAGAGGAGGATTCGCCCCTCATGCAGATTGCGACGTCAATGACTTCGTGCACATCCACCAACGTGCCCTGAAGAACGAGTTGGAGTGTCCTGCGGTCCCTTGGAGTTCTCCCGAGTGAATGAGTATTGAGGGACACGCAACCCAAATTCTCAAATCTCTGGGGACGCATCGCGTGTCCCCGCGCCCGGCCACATGCGCATTTCAAAGCTATGATGGGGCCCAAGAGAGCCCCAAGGGGCACCCAAGACGGTCCAAGATCACCCCGACTCGCCCGATGATTTCTCTAGGACGTCCAAGATGGCCTCCCGACGGCCCATGATGTCCCCAACCAAGAGCGCTCCAAGAGGCCCCCAAGGAGGGTCCCGAGAGACCATAATCATGTATATTCCGCAGGCTGTTTGTTAGTGTAACTGCCTCGCCGATTCGTGTCTCCGACGCCCCAAGAGGACCCAAGAGGTGAGCTGGTCTGGATATGAGCCAGTCCCAATGCTTGTGAGTCTGAATCTGAGTGACTGAAAATACGAGTGGATGTGAAAATGAGCGGCTATGAGTGCGATTGACTCTGCACATATATATATATATGTATATATATACACATGTGTGTGTGTGTGTGTGTCAGTGTCAGTGTCAGTGTCAGTGTGTGGGTCCGAGTGCGAGGAGGGCTGAGTGTGAGCACGAGAAAGAGGCGGGCGAGTGAGGAGGGGCATGGGGAATCACCTGCCGCTTTAACTGAGAAGGTACGGGCAAGGTGAGCCTGTTAGGGAGTCCGGCCGTAAGTGAGGGCATCCTGCGGCCTCAGAATGGGCGCGCTTGGTCGCAACAAATTTGAACGTGAGTGAGTATGAAACTGAGAGGATCTGCACGTGAGTCTGTGCATTAATGGATTCGAATGCGAGTCTGAGTGTGAGTAAGTCTGTGCATAAGTGAGCATGTGTGAGGATGAGCCTGAGTGAGGCTGAATGCAAATCTGCACCAATAGCTCAGAAACAAGGTGCGAGTGAGTCTAAATATGAGTGAATTGGAACACGAACGGGTCTGAGTGCGAACGAATCTGACTGCGAGAGGGATGCAAAGGGAGGAGGCGGGATGAAAGGCAGAAATGAAGCGGAAACATCACGCTACTCGCAGGACCGCGAACTTCGAACATCGATTTTCCTTCGGCACGGAGTCGCGAGGCGGTCGCCTTCAACGCGTTCACCAGGTCGATGCTGCCCGCGAGCTCGACGCGCGCCCTGCGGATCGTTTTTGTGTTTCCCTTGAGTCCACGGGGCGCACGGGGGCAACGCGCTCCCGACAGGTGCAGACCCCGAGCTAGGTCAGTTCAACGAAATCCTTCAGTTCAACAATCCTCCTCCTCCTCCGCCTCCTCCTCATTCTCCTCCTCCTCCTCCTGGCCTCCCATGTCCCTATGGTGGTTGTCAGGGGCCAGGCCGCTGAACTCAACATGAAATCCGGCTCGCGGCCAGCCAAGAGGCAGCTCAAACCCCTCCGAACCCAGCAATTTGGCGGCTGGAAGAGCATCAAGAAGCCCATTACTGTTTCGTGTGGCCAGTGACCGACTTCGGGCCCTGGGGACGCGCTAGCGCTGTCCTGCGAAATATCCAAGCTCCCCCCTCCAGGAATGGGAAACCCTCCCCCCCACCACCCCTTATTCACCCTGCCCTCCCTCCTCGGCAAGAATCCCGCACCTTCACACACCCCCTCCGCAAGCGGTGAGGCGAAACGATGACCTAAAACCTTCCCTTTCGCGCCGGCAGACGACGAAGGCGACGACGACAGCAACAAACACGATGAACACGACAAACACGACGACGACGGCGGCGGCGACGACGAGGCTGACGCAGATGGCCCACGACCAGCAGCGGCGAAGACGACGACGACGATGACGAGGGTGAGACGTTCAAAGCGTCGCGCAAGTCGGGCGGGCGGAACGGTAGCGCCGGCGAGCCGGCCAGGCGAGCGGGACGTTCACGCGGGCGCGCGGGCGGCACGTTCATTTGAGCGGGCCGCTCGGGCGGAGAACGTCTGGCGGGCGGGGGGTAGTACATGCGAGCTTCACTCGCTGACGGGCGAGAGATTGGTTGGGAAGACACAAGAAGAGAACCAAGGAACATGACGACGACAACGGCGAAGGCGACTGCCGGGACACTGAAGCGGGCAGACGGGACAGCGGAAAGGGTCCTCGCACTCTGTTGCGACGACGCTGGGGGGGAACGACGCTGAAAAGCCAAAAGAAATGACGACGAATACCAAGGGTGTGCGTCTGTGTGTGTGTGTAACATTACAGTCGGCGGGCGGGCGGGGCATCAAATGCAGGCTTTGCTCGATGATTGGACTAGGTTCGTTGTCGTCAGTGTCGACATCGTCGTCATAGTCGCCGTTCGCGTCAGAGTTGTCGCCGTCAGCGTCGTCATCGTGTCCGTCGTCATGTTCGGCGTCGTCGTCGTCGCGTTAGTCGTATGCGTCGTCGTGTTCGTTGTTGTCTGTTGGCGCGAAACGGGTGGAAATCGTGCCGCCGTTCCCCCGCTGCTGCTGCCGATCCTCCTCCCCTCTAGCGCTGGCCCCGCAAATCCTCCTCTGCCTCTCTTACCCGACGAGACCCCTTTTTGCTTGCTGCCTCCCCGCCAAGCCCCCCCGCACAGGAGGAGCACGCTCCCCCCCTCCCGCTTCAGCACCGGAAGCTGCTGCAGGCGACGCGCTCTGCGCTCCTGATGCGCTCCCGGAGGTACGCGGCGTCCCGCTGCGCCTTGGTGGCGCGCGTCTGCAGCGACGCGATCTCGGGGTTGACGGCCTTGCCTAGGTCGCCGGCGCCGGGGCGGGAGGAGGTGGCGCTCCTCCCCCCCTGCCCCCCCCCTCTCCTCCTCCTCCTCCTCCTCCTCCTCCTCCTCCTCCTTCGCCTCCTCCTCCTCCTCCTCCTCCTCCTCCCCCTCCTCCTCCTCCCCCTCCTCCTCCCCCCTCCTCCCCTTCTGCCTCCCGCCTGCCTTCCCTCTTCTGGGCGCGAAGCGCTGCCTAGCTCGACGGGGCGCGAAGCGCTTCGCGCTTCGCGCTTCGCGCTGCGCGGCCCGGGCCGGAGAGGTGATTACGCCTCCCCGCAAGGAAGATACCATGCTGGAGCAGTGCTGGAGTCTGCATCTCAGTCAGCGTGGACGGAGGCCTTACAACTGGTGGGCACCGATCGTAAGCTCTGGCCGCACACAGCCGAAGGACGGCGAGGACTGTTTAGGGCATAGTAAGGGTCACGTGGAGCAAGGAGGGTGCCCACAAGCGGCGGTGCTTTCTGCCTGGGCGTCCGTCCGTTCGAAGTAGACTTGGTCGTGATTCAAATGTCGCACAATGCTCGAAAGGTTCGCGTCCTTCGGCACGACGCCCGCAAGTTGGCGTGACCCACTTGGTTGTTACGTAAGATATACTTGCTTGCGAAGCTAAATTTGGCACACTTGCGTGACGTACGAGGAAACACTGGCTATCGCCAGACGGGGCAGCAGCATCGCAAGAAGCCCAGTTACCCTCATGAAGCCACTTTTGCGAGGAACCCATCGAATTCACGAACTTGTATCGCAGTTGCAGTCGATTTAAGCTCTGGCATGCATCATGTTTGAAAGGACGGGCTGCAATATTTGATTGTTGATGCCCGATCGGTACCTCGCTCGTACCTGGTACAAACGCGATCAGCGTGACGGCCTGTGCGAAACACTGATTTCGAGTTTGTTTGCGTCAGACTTGTATAGTTTGCCACTTCTCGATAATCCTGTTAGATACCAGCTTGCGCGAAAACATCCCGAAGGGTTTGCCGTTTTGCAGCCGACATCCCCTCCAACGAACAAACGTGACCCCGCCGTATACATGATTTCGACCGTGTATTCTTTCGTCTTCCCCTCAGGGGAGGGCTCACCACTGACCCCATACTTATTATCTAACACCCCCATCCTCCACTCGACAGGCCACCGACCAGGAACTATGAACCCACCAATCGTCCCTGTCATAAACAATTCAAAGGGCACGTGGCCGCAAAGTTTGGACCATGAGCGGGCAACCCACAATCGCTGCGAGTGTTGCTTTTGACCAGGAGAGCGGGCGGATCATATCAGGACGGCGGGCGGATCATATTTGCCCACCTGTGCGGTCTCCCAAAGCAACAATGTAAATCGATGGTGGGTGCACACGCAATTTACCATGCGGACCATCCCGCCGCAACTGCGCATTTGCTTCTGACAGGGGTTGCTGGGTGCCCACATGCTGCCTGGTGTGTGTGCTGCCACGTGCACTTCCGCATCGGTCGCTTCCGTCTGCCCGCGCCGCGCACCTGGCGCGGCTGGAGCGTGTGGCATGCTTGGCGCAAGTGGCGCGTATGACGCACCGGGCCCGCATGGCACGCTTGGGTGGGGCACGTGCTGCCAGAACGGGTGAAGGGAGGGGTGGAGGAAGAGGATGAGGAGGAGGAGGAGGAGGAGGAGGAGGAGGAGGAGGAGGAGGAGGAGGAGGAGGAGGGTCCCTGGGCCACCTGGTGTACCTGGTGCGCATGGCGGGCCT